TAATAAGAAGGCAACAACTCCCAAATACTTGGAGCCCGGTTTGGAGAAGCCCCAAACACACAATCTCTTTCACTCCATCTCGCCCCAAAAGTTTGGATTGCTGTGCTATTTACATCGCGCTGAGGTTAAGAAGACATGGTCATCAACAAGTTCATGAAGGGTGGTTTGGGCATAGTAATTGCGGTAATTAAAGAGATTTGGGGTTGAGAAAGATGTGATGCTGTTGTGATATGCTAGTTTGTATGTATGCTGGTATGTATGCTGGCTGTGGGATAGTATTTTGGCTGGGGGCTGAGGCTTCCCCTATTCCGGGAGAGACTGTGGTAATTATATAATCCCATAATATTATTTATAGTAAATGGGTATGGATCAATACCTATTAATACCATTTTTAGGGGAATGAACATCCATTTACCAGCTATTTTGATGTTCGCCAGGGGTACAAGGTTTTGACACACTGCCAAATGATTATGAAAATAATGTTGGTTATCCCCATTGGTTTGATACAATAAGTCTATTAAAATTTATGTCGCAATTATTTTCTAGGACTATTTCAAGCAAATAAGTTTTCTAGAAATAACACCTATGAAATAGATAAGGTAAGATGATGTATATTTGTATATGCTTTGATGAAAATTATTCAATACAATTATGATGATTATATTTTGTAATTTTTACGGATGAGATGGATGAGATGGGTTGATATGATGAGGTTGCTGTGGTTTATGTTATTGGTTTTATTAATAGTAGGTTGTTAGGATTTTGTTATTGTTGTTTTGTTGCTTTGTTTTTGTTTGTAGTAGGTTGTTTTGATTTTATTTTGTTGTTATGATTATGGTATAGACTATTTTATAATCTATTGTATTGTTTTGGTTTGTTGAGTTTGTTGTTTTGTTGTTTTGTTGTTATGATTTATGTTATTGTTTTCTATAAGGTGTTGCTCCCCTGTCTTTGGTATTAACCCCATAGAATTTGCTAGTATAATAATGTGGGCGGTTAGATGAGAAAGACGGGGGAGCACAATGCTAACTGTTGTATCCTCTGTGAACCAAACGTTAACCCAGTCATGTGCGTCAACTTAGCTCTTTAGATGGTGTAGATATGTGTAGATGATATTTACCACAGTGTTCCACGTTTCTCATTTTTCTATTTTGGGGTTGCGGTAGTTTATATCTCCAGTTTTCTGACGGCCTTCCATCCACGGTTTGGACTTCCGAAAAGGAGCTGCCTCGACAGCTGGATCTCCCAGCAGAGCCTGTTGGGTCCACAACCTCCCTGGCAGATCGCTTGGCAGGTGGGGTTTGGGTGAAAGCCATCATGAAAAAATGATAACAATGGTTACTTAAGCCATGTCAAACTGTCAAACCATAAACGTGGTGCTCTAGTCAAGTGCAAACATGCAACCAGAATCGGCAAACGCCAACACGAAAACATGTTTTGAAGTCAATTGTGCATCGAAAACTAGGGCCTTATAAAGAGTTCGCATTTTGGGAGTTGGGTTGTTGGAGTCTGTTGGAGCTAGAATCAGCTGGAAAAAATAAGTGAACACCTACAAGAAAGATAAGAAAGACCTGCAAAGAACACCTACAAACACTTGGGAGTTTTCATTTCCCTGCGGTGAATTAGATCGACAATGGTGATGGGAACGCCGGGTAAGCAATCACCATATGCAGTTCTTTGGAGCCCTTTTGGTCACAGGAGCAAGGCCTTGCGAAGCCGCGCATAGGCACACTTAAACTAGGTAACTATATATATATAGGTAAGATTCTTAGATATTTCGAAGGCTCTTCGAATAGGCTATGTTGCATGTACGTTGTCTCTGCACATATTCTTTGATTGATATGCAAAAATGTTGGTAGGCAAGCGCAAAGGCATGTTTAAAATCCTGAAAGACAAAGAGGTGCTACAGGCTCCAAGCACCCAAAACAACAATCATGCCATGTGGGCAACTTGTGACAAGCTCAAACACGGCCTGAACATGACTTTCTTTGACGTACAGTACAGGGCCAAACTCTTACCTGTATGTTTTGCCCAAATATATGCAGATATGCAGTGTTTGGGGAGCACCGACCAGGGCATGGTTTTCTCTTGGCGGTGCCGCATAGCTACAAACGCCCTACATATCCACCATAACAGATCTAGCGCAAAACCACGGTGCCTGCGAAGGTGTTTACTATTGGGGGATAGAGATTCTATAATTATCATTAATTATCCAGGTCCAACGTGATCCAACGTGGACGTATCATCCAAGGTGTTCTTTTGTTAGTGAACCCCCCGGTTTCCGGCAAGTTGGGGAGCCAATCAAGGTGAGCATCTCAGTATATCTTAGTACCTGGATGTGCATTCCAGTTGTTTTTTGTGCTTACTGGAACACATGGGTTTCTACCCTAGTTATACATGATATGTATGTATACTAGTATATATGATACCTCCAGTTCGCGGACTTATTAACCAGCCTTACTTCCCAATTACTACCCATACATGCCCTGAAGTTAATGAAGTTTGTTCATTAGCTGACACTGCCAATTGCCAAGAAATAGGATACTGTAGTATATCTCCACATGTCGCCATGACCTTCCGGTAATCAACTGATCAGCAACAACAATAATAATAGTATATAATATCTCAAATTGTAGATGTTTTTCCCGTGGTCTATTTAAAATGTAGCAACAAATAATCACGTCACCATGTCTCCAATAATAGACATGAACCGTTAAAAGTGCCATGGTTGATAGGTTATTGTGGGGATCAAAAACTATCTGGTTATTATGGGGATTATAATAAACCATAATAGGGATTGAGCAGATAGTTATAATCCCCATAATAAATCCCCATGGTTATAAATGATTATAATCCCCATAAAACTATCAGTTATAATAGTTATAATCCCCATAAATGGTTATAATAGGGATAATTATAAATGATCTGTCTATTCATTTCCCCATGTTCCTGGAGATTTTCCCAGGCAGAGCAGCCAGCCCCTGTACTTTACCCGCCCTGTCCGGTTGCCCAGCGGCTTGGGGCTACCACTTAGGCCTTGGAAAAGATGATGAAAGATGTGTAGAAAAAGTGAGGTCTAGTGCTTTGGAACCTTTGGAACATAGATACTTTATGAAATCTTTATGATCTATTCATTGAAGCTTAGGCCTCAGGAGAGTGACATGAAGCTGGCTGGTGCTGTCCATCTGGCGGGTGGATCTGGTACTATCTGGTATTCCTAAGTAGTTCTTGAAGTCTGTGTAACACAATGAGGGCAGCACGGAAATGTTGTGACTGCTGGCTGGAACCTCCCCCATCGATGATTTCGCTTAATGGGGCATGGGTCAAAACCTGTTTCCACATCTTTAGGGGGAAAAAACATCCATTACCATCTGGTTATGACTCACAGTTCGCCATGGAAAATCACCATTTTATAGATAGGTAAACCCAGGTAAACCATCTATTTCTATGAGCCATCTATACCATGGCTATGTTAGTCATAACCAGAGGGTAACTATTTTAGGGTACCATCAGGGTACTAGGGTTTTGATCATGAAGATTTCCCAGCCATGCTGGCCTGGAAGAGGTCTGCAATGCCATTGGGGACAGCTGGAGGCCAGGATCGATGCCGCGGGTTTTTCTGGGCATCATTTCCAGATATTTCCAGCTTTCCAACAGGATAAAAAATAGTACTTTACTATTAAAAAAATATAAAATCTATTATACCAGTATCCAATATTATCCCATATTACCCCACATATATCCACATATAGCTGCCATAGCTTTCCAGACAAGTTGGGGCATATATATATATGTAATCTTGGGATCATATGGGATAACCAGCAGTTGCTGGGATAGAAACCTTTGTAGGTTTCCAACTTGTCGAGACAACTATCGGTGCTATTGGCTGTTGAAAGTCGGATGCTTCAAGATCCGAAGGAAGAACAATTAGATGGTTGCAAGCCTACAGGATGATGCCCCCCAGTTATAAGTTGGTTTATAAACCCCATTAAGTATAGTTATATCTGCCATAAACCATAGTTATGGGAGTTATAAACCAACTTAGCTAACTATGGGGCACCACCTTGTATGGACGCATACCAACATGTTTTTTTTTTTAAACATCGAAAGATGTGTCACTGGTTGGGTGCAGTTCCACGTAGAATTGGATATATAACCATAAAAGTGATAGGGGTTATATCCCAACTTTGGAGATGATCGTCATAATTATAGCCATAGAAAAAAACCCAAGTGCAGCCCCCATGTATGTTGGTTGGTGGACATCATCTTGACCAATGCGGGAAACCCAAGAAATCTACCATTTGGTGTTGGTTTACAGCACCCATATGGCTGGTGATTTTGGGGGATAGCTGATCAAGTTGGGTGTACCACATTAGATTCGGAATATCTCAACAGGGTACCCAGGGTCCTGCAGAAAGGTGGTCCCGGCTTGGCTCGGGAAGCCTGGAAACCACTGGAATGGGACATGGTGAAGAAACATGGCCCCAAAACTCCAACGATGGGCTCAGATTTTTGCGTGAAATGGCCTTGCAAAAATCCAGCATGGGTTCTGTGAATAGCCCCATCAGCTTGGGGAGGCCAAACAATTTTGAGAGGCACATTACACCTCGTGGTGGATTGTCGTTGCTTTTTTGCGTTCCGAACTGGATGTTTCTAGTGCCAATCAATATCAATTGATTGAGATGACTAGTGAACGGCAGTCCAGCTGATTCTTTGTCGCTGAAACAGCGGCTTGCAGCTTCTGCCCGAGTATGGAATCAGCCACTTGTGGATAACAACCTGCACCGGAGCCAGGGGCAGAATGACAGTATACCCAAAAAGCTGGGGCTCAACCCAGATCCCCGGGGATCATCGGTGGATTTGCCAAGTTACTTTTAAGATTTGTCCAGATCTTGGATCGTGGAGCTGTTTTTCAGAATTCTCCTGGTTTCATGCTTGAAGATTAAGACATAAGACAGGATCTCTCCCCATGACGCAACCACGGTACCACTCCTGATGCAACCACTTTGATCCGTCGCGATGTCCCAAGCCACTGGCTTGCTCTACGCCCTGGTGGCGGCCGTGGCCTTTGGCATCCAATATGTGCCAGCGACTCACCTGGTCGGTGAATAGGGAGGGGTTGGGAGCGGCCGGCTGGGAGCCAAGGAGCTAACAATCTCCCAATGATATTCATAATGTTGGTTTTCTGAATGGAAAAGTCTGTTTTCCGAGGAACTGAATGTTTCAGAAATTGACCAGTGGATTTCAAACTCACAACTTGGATTCTCTTGGAAAGCTAAAATAATCTTTCTCTCATATTCCAAAACTTGTCCAAACCCGCCCAAAATCCCCAATTATCCAGTGGTTTTATAGAACCCCTAGTTTTGAAGGACGCAATGGTTGGGAAGGAGATCCCATCGCACCCACTAAGCACTGGTTAAAAGCCAAAAGACAATACATTACGGAAGATTACACTACACTGCGTCACAATATTATATTATCTCTTTATATATATTATATTATAGTAAATATATTATATATAATATAGAATAATATATGATATCATATATAATAAGATATATCATATATAATAATATATATCATATATAATAATATATATTTTATATAATACTATATATTATATATATTACTATATTATTATATATTATTATATAGTATTATATTATTATATATTATTATATTATTATATATTATTATATTATTATATATTATTATGTTAATTAGATTATTATATTATTATATTATTATATTATTATATATTATTATGTTATTATATTATTATATTATTATATTATTATATTATTCTATTATTCTATTATTCTATTATTCTATTATTCTATTATTACATTATTATATTATTATATTATTATCTTATTATATTATTCTATTTTTCTATTATTATATTATTATATTATTATATTATTATATATTATATATTATATATTATATATTGTAGATTATATATTATATTTTATTATATATTATATTATATATTATATATTTTACATATTATATATTATATATTAGATATTATATATTATCTATTATATATTATATTATATTATATATTATATATTATATATTATATTTTAAATATTATATATTATATATTATGCATTATATATTATATATTATATTATATATTATATATTATATATTATATATTATATATTATATATTATATATTGTATATTATATATATTATATATTATATATTATATATTATATATTGTATATTATATATATTATATATTATATATTATATATTATATATTAATTATTATATATTATGGATTATATATTATATAATATATATTATATATTATATATTATATATTATATATTTTATATTATATATTATATATTATATTATAGTATATTATATCATATTAAACTTTTTTTTTTAATATTGTATATTATATAATATTATATATTATATTATATTATATTATATCATATTAAAGTATAAAACTATTTTATATCATATTAAACTGTATTATATTATATTGTATATTGTATTATATTATATTATATTACATTATATTATATTATATTATATATATATTATATTATATTATATTACATCACATTATATTATATTCTATTAGATTACATTACATTACATTATATTATACTATATTATTTTATACTATATTATATTATTTTATTATATTATATTATTATATTATATTATATTTTATATATTATATTATATATATATATGTTACATTATATATATAATATTACATATATCCAAGTATGTACAAACCCCCTCCAGACCCTCAAGTGATCCGCACAAATTAAGATTTACCCCGACATATTCAGCAATTCTGAATAACAGACGGCTCGTCTGGGCTTTGATTTGGAATGTATTTGGAGGTGATGCCAATTTCCTTGGGGCCACCTAAATCAGGTGAAGAAGTATGAGATCTTCGCAGGGGAGCCCAGCAGAACCCCACAGGTTGAGAGGGCTCTGGGTTCGCCATTGATGAGCCAAGGCGGTAACCACGGCCTGCTTATCATGGTGTATCATGGGGAAAAAAAGTTGGGGCCAGCTGAGTTCTGGGCATCTGAGGAGGGCACTGCTTTCCAATGGTTCATGTGCAACGGCATCCTGATGGTGCCTTGGTGGCAGAGAAACTCACAACAAGCACCTCCCAACTTTTTTAGAAAGCTGATGATGCATGGGCGATGAGAAGTAACAAGGAGATGGAGAGGTACATATGAGGGGTATTCAGGGGTTGAGTTCAGAAAAAGAAACAGGCACCATACTCAGCGTGTAGGCATACGTTCATTTTTCTTTGGGTCTTGGCTTTGCAAAGTGCTTCAACTGTCAAATTGTTTTCCGGAAAGCCTTGACACAAAGCCCCTTTTGCAAAGCCTTTGAGCACACAAAGCCCGCTTTTTGGGGCTCCGCAGACATGAAAAACTCTGTTTCAACTCACGCAAACAAGTTTGGCCTGATTAAGGTTTGTCTAAAAATAGTATATACCCAATCTATGTCCATTTTATTGGGAACATGATAATCAACCATCAAACACATTTGCATTGATTTGCATTGCAATTTCTTTCACACATGCATGTGATTTATTTGGATCAAAGGTTTCAGTATATACAGGATCACATAATATGCTGGTGCGAATTAATAACCAGCATAGAAGTTCTTATTAGCGGAGGCAACATGCCGCCCCGAGCCGCAAACCCACTGAACAAGGTTAGGCATACAGCGTGGTTGCTTTCTCGCCCCCTCTAGAACGCTATAGTCACGTTCAGTGTTGGAGAATGGAGCGAGCGGAGTTTGAACGATTGAAGTCTCATCAGAGGTTTTTCTAGCGACTTTCCTTTGCAGGTGCTAAATTTATTTTTTGGCTTTAAGCAAGCAGACATTGAACAATGCGCCTGAAAATTTCGTCATCTTGGGAAGAACGTTGGTGCAAATAGCTTCATCATGTGGACATTCCTGGGTGAAGCAAACATGGATGGAGTTGTGATTGCAATTTATTTGACTCTGCCTGACAAAAGCATGTTTGGCATCAAAGGGTACTGTTCGATCGCGGTTTGAATGTTTTCTTTGCTTTTGGAACTACTTGTGAAGACATATTCTGTGATTTTGTCTAAAGGAATGCGTTTGAAACTTCAAACAAGTCCAAGTAAACAGGGCTCAATGAACGCTCACCCCAAACCCAATTGCCCAAAACTGCAGATCAAAGAGTTTCATCCGAAGAAATTTCACCCCGGGACCCCATGTCAATCATCCCCATTGGCAATGGGGCCTCAACCAATATTCAAGTGATACTATTCCCTGATAGAGTGTGAGGATGAAGTCCGTCTCGACATAGCTGGGGACTGTACCCAATTGAGCAGGATCAAGAGCTCCAAACACACATGGCGTTGACGATAAGTCAAACTGACTTGCATCCGCTCATTCCCACCGCACCCTGCAGTGAAAACTCTACCACTCTCAATACCCTGTGGTGTAATCAGTAAGTTTCCGCAGTATCATGTTCATACCTGGTCTAATATACCTGACGGTCATTTTTCCCGTCATGGGGTTTGTCTGAAATTCATGGGAAAGCCTATTCCATCCAGTGGTTTATCATGGTTTAGCTAGGCCAAGCGCCTGGGAGGGTCAGCAGGTTGGTTTCATCATTGCCGCGGCCAGCGGAGAACTGGAGCGTGGGATTTCGCCTTTGGTCATTTTTGGCGGAGTGGCTGGACCTGTGTTGAGTTGGGTGGGATGACAGCCTTCACCTTGATCATTGTTTTATCTTCATATGTCAATGATCTACATTAAGTATTGCCAATCAACACTGTCAGTGGTTGAGTTCTCACATTAGAATATATAAGTTTCAGGTAAAAGATGAAACCGATTGAGTCTGTGCCACGACCCTCAAGCTAAGGGAGCCAGTTTGTGCTGGTGGGTTTCATTCCAACAAGCTTTGACAGGGATTGTTTTTTGTCGGTCGACTCGGTCCCTCAAACAAAAACACTGCCCCTGATTTGCAGAGAAACTTGGCTATCTTCACAGTAAAAACACGGACAGAAACCATGGATTTCTTGTTTCCCTTGAAGCCCAGTGGGGTGACTGCTCACAGTGCCCAGTTCATATAGTTCATCTTCATCCCCAAACTTCTCCATGACCTCGGCAGGTGTTGTGGGCATTGTCAAACTATTTGGTATTGCCTCTAGTGACGCGGCTGATGGTGATCGAAATGGGGACTGGTGGCTAGTTAGGACATCTTAGGACTATGCAGTTGTGATTGCCTGAGCAATCTGATGAGAGACGATCTTCCAGACATTTCCAGACTACTTTTTCGAAGGTGGCTATTCTCATACTGACATGGCAGTGCAAAAAACTTGCCTTTACGAACCAAAATGTGAGGGGCTGGCTATATATATATCCCCAAGATCACACATGTCATGTCTGGATTTACATATAAAACCCACGAAAATGTTTGCATCTAATTGCAGTTTGTGGATGTTTGTAGCTTAAATCCCCCATGTTTTTTGGTTATCCGACTTATAAATGGCTGAACATTTCCCCAGTTACCGCATGGTGTTACTGTACTAGCCTCGGCATGGAATCCAGGTGAAGTTACTCGGCATCGGCCTGGGTTTCTCGCTCTATCACTTCGTGCACCTTCGCTACAAAGAACGCTTCGGATCTGATGGATTTCCTGCTTTTTTTACCGGATGAATGGGGATAGAATGGGGATGAATGGGGGTTGAAACCCAGTGGAACACCACTTTTTAGGGCTTACGAAATCCACGAAAAACGATGGAAAGCCGGGTGGTTTTGAAATTGGACATTTCCCATTCATGGTGGGATGACCACGGGCCCCATGAAGTTGTGAATTTCTCCGATAAGTTGACGATCTTTCCATATTTTCCATTGTGGGTGAGCTCCAAAATCGATCACTGGATATCACTGGTGGTATTGCCCAGCGATACTCATGGTGTGTTTCCCAAATTGCAAATTCCCATCGAAGTCAAGCTTGGAAATCTCGGGTTTATCATTGAAACCATCAGAAAAAAATCATTGCCAGGTTCGACAACCGGAGGATAACCATCTACCCTCTGGTTATGTCAAAATAGCTATTGAAAATGGCCATTTATAGTGGATTTATCCATTAAAAATGGTGATTTTCCATAGTTATGTTAGTTTACCAGAGGGTAACCATCTATTTTAAAAGATCTCAGGAATCTGATGGTGGGCTATTGCATCGGTCGATTTGGCCTCTTGGTGTGAAGAAGCTCACCGGAGAACTGATTTACTGCGCCCTGGCTGGGAAGGGTACCAGGGGCGTAGCCAGTCTCAGCAAGTGATCCAACTGGATGTTTCCAACATGTTACAACTGGAGTGAATAGTTTTTACATGTTTCCACTGTGGGGTGTAGATAAGTAGGTCCCACTGTGGGGTACAGCAAAGACATGCCGAACTGCACCAACATGGTCTGTTTATGTCTGTTTAGGACTGAGGAAATTGCGGGCTTCTCTGAACATGACCAAGTGACCAAATCAAAGTTGGGTGATGTTCTGGTACTCAACGTTTCAGACATGCTTTGTTTTTGGCCCCAGTCGTACGTCGCGACGCGTTTTATGCTTTGCTTTTCTGCTTGGCAGTGCGCGTTTATGTGTATTTTTCTCCACGCCTGTCACGCGGATTGACGGGGGGGGTGGGGGGGTTCCAGGGGGGGGTGGGGGTGTGGGGGTTGATAGCGTTCGTCGCGCTTCCTGTTCATCTTCGTTTCGACATGCTCATGATGCTAACGCTCTATAGATCTTCTCTTGCAACCTCGACACGCCTCATGGATGGGGGGTGGGGGGGGTTCGGGTTTGGGGGGTGGGGGGGTGGGGGGTGGCTTGATAGCGTTCTGTCGCCTGCTTCCTGTTTCATCTTCGTTTCGACATGCTCATGATGCTACGCTCTATAGATCTTCTCTTGCAATCCTCGACACGCTCATGATGCTACGCTCTATAGATCTTCTCTTGCAATCCTCGACACGCTCAAGATGCTACGCTCTATAGATCTTCTCTTGCAATCTTTGTCACGCTCATGATGCTACGCTCTATAGATCTTCTCTTGCAATCCTCGACACGCTCATGATGGGGGGGGTGGGGGGGGGTTCTGTCGCCTGCTTCCTGTGTCATCTTCGTTTCGACATGCTCATGATGCTACGCTCTATACATCTTCTCTTGCTATCTTTGACATGCTCTATGTTTTTTCGAATGCTTTCAAATTGCTGGTGGAGATAAAACCCATTCAAACACACACACAACTCATTGTTTCTGAAATTAGAATCAACCATAACATAAATCAAAAAAAAATGCACCTCGCTGTAGCGAAAACACGAAAAAAACTAAAAACCTTCATTTCGCTGTGGCCCCGTGCAACATGATGTAACTGCTATGTGAAAAATCCAAGTCCAAAAAAAAGTAACTTAAGTGCGTAAAAAATGCCATTTCACTGTAGCGAAACTACAACCAACATTTAAAAGATGCATTTCGCTGTAGCCCCGTGCTACATGCGCGAAACTGTGGTGCCATGGCAATTTCGCTCAAAATTTTAAAAAAACAAACATGAAATGACATGACACAAGCAGATGAAAAAAACACAAAAACACTGCAAAAACCATGGAAAATGGAACATGACGTCACTTGGCAGCATTTCAGGCGCGTCTTGACGCACCACTGGGGCGTTGTTTTTATAAACCAAACTCAGTGTTCACACATCCATTTTCTGCAAAAAGATAAAAAGTACGTGTGATTGTACCTTCGAATAATGTTGACTTTTATGTTTATACAATTTTATACACACAGACATACGGTATACGTTTGATTTTCATTGATTTTCTGTATATCCACGATAGAAAAGACCGCTGGCAGGTGACATCGGTTGCTTTCTGGTTCTCGCATCCTTTTTCGCCATGGTTTTTGTGGAGGTCGGGGGCCGATGCGAGCCAGGGAATGCTGGGGATTTGCTACATCCTCAAATATTAGTCCTTGATGAATCTTGATGATACCATTTATTCTTAATATTAATGATCATAAGATATAATATGATATAATAAGAACTCTTAGTTTGTGAATATCTTTGATCTTAAGAACTATTCACATTCACGAGGGATTCACATGCCATGCCTAGCGTTTTCCATGCGAGGGAAACTTAACCCCAGTGATTCGGCCAGCCACGTGCGAACATCAGATCAGTTGGATATGTATGGGATGTAAAATATATCAATATATATATATTCATAAGTATCCTACATAACTATAGGATGCTGACTATTGAACTATATAACCATTATATAACATATTCATTAAGTATCCTAACTATAGGATGCCGACTATTTAACTATATAACTATTATATAACCATTAGATTATAGGACTATATAACCATTATATAACCATTAATATCAGCATATATAACCATTATATAACCATTAGATTATAGGATGCCTAGCCCTTCGCAGACTCTTCGGAAATTTTATGCTGACGACCGTCGTAGTTTCAGGCAGGTCACGAGTCCAAAGATGATTCGGACAGCGAAGGCGCGGCTGTTTTTTCGTCAGCGTTTGGAAATTGTGACGTGATCCAAACGTCATGATGTTTCATGACTGGTTGGTGGTTTGGAAGATGGCTTTTATTTTCCACAATACATATATGGGATGGGATGTCATCCTTCCCACTGACTTTCAACTCATATTTTTCAAGATGGTTATTGCACCACCAACCAGCTAGTCATGATGTTTCATGATCACACAGATTGATTGTAGCAAATTATATCACTATCACATCACAGGATCAGTATAGCATCATAGCATCCTTAACCCAGCAGATGAAGACGATGGCTGAGTTCCTGAGTTCCGTTCCTGTGGCCCTGTGGCATTTTTTTTGTAGCATTTTTTTTTATGTCCGAAGTTCAACGGGTTTTTTTGACATCATCGTTAGATCAACCAATCCCATCCATCTGATAGAAAAAATTACTTTACTTCGTGTGATCCCCACCATGACATTTATACATTTTCTTGCTGGCAAATCTTCTGGCATTCTATCTGGCATATCTTCTGGCATTCTATCTGGCATTCTATTTGGCATATCTATCTGGCATATCTTCTGGCATATCTTCTGGCATTCTATCTGGCAAATCTTCTGGCATTCTATCTGGCATATCTTCTGGCATTCTATCTCTGGCATTCTATCTGGCATTCTATCTGGCATATCTTCTGGCATATTATCTGGCATTCTATCTGGCATTCTTTCTGGCATTCTATCTGGCATTCTATCTGACATATTTTCTGACATTCTATTTGGCATTCTATCTGGCAAATCTTCTGGCATTCTATCTGGCATTCTATCTGGCATATCTTCTGGCATATTATCTGGCATTCTATCTGGCATTCTTTCTGGCATTCTATCTGGCATTCTATCTGA